GGAGCTAAAGAAGTTCTGCAACCTCCCTTCCAATGCTTCACTTCCCTTGCAGTTGGACAGCATTTGCAAATATCCAAACTAAATCTTCAGTACAAATTAATCTTAATGACCACTTGCCCTATTTCCAGTGGACATAAAGAGCAATTGATCATTGATCTCTCTGTAGTAGTTTTTTTCAAATATTGGAAGACTGTGACTGTCTCCCCCCTTCTTTCTTCTGTTTTCTCGACTAAACAAACCCAATTGCTCTGTGAGAGCAGATTAAGTTATCAAAATTGTCCCTTCTGGCTTTAGATCAATTGATTTATGTCAATATAAGATCAACTTCTGATTTTTTTATTTGTGTCACTTTTACAAACTTTCCACAAAAGCAAGAGTCTCTTTAATACCAGTGCTGTCACTGGTTCAGAGCGATTTACTTTACTGTTGAGTTGGTGGATTTGGTACATCACTGGTAATGAGTTTTGTCTACTTGGGGCTTTATTACTATCAGGGCTGCACCTGACTATAAATTGAGTGATCACTTGAAGACCGTGTGGCAGAATTGTATCACTTACTCGGCTTGGCATTGTATTGGTGATGTATAAGGGAGTCAGCATTAAGTAGAGAACTATTTCAGTTTAATAGAAAATTGTCCCTTGCAGTGTGATCCCATTATAAAAAGTTGCCTGCAAAAATGTCCTTATGTAGTCAGTGTACCTGATTACTGTGTGAACTCAAAGTTCAAATTTCTTACATGGATGACAAAAAAAGAACTTTCATTTTTATTAGTTGCATTGGTTTTGCCATACTTAATTGCAGACAGCTGGCTTTTATTCTGATTCACCTATCAACAGAATTGTTACTTAGAGGTCAGTTGCAGAATTCTGTTTGCAATACATGAGCTATAAAGAGCCAGACTTGATTTACAGATTCAAAGCTTACTTTGTAAGAGTAGGTGTTAGAAAAAAATAATCTTTTTCATTTTCTTGTCACTTCTAAACTAAACAAATTTGTTTTCAAAATCTTTGTGAGAGAGACCATAAATACCGAGACCCAGTGTCATTCTTGCAGTCATCTTTCTGATTAGAATTCCTTTTTAGCAAAAACAGTTTTATAATATAATTTCTTGTTACATTAAGTTACGTTATAAGTTCTCTTAAGCGAGAAGTAAAATACCCAGTCTAGATCATTTTGTTTTTTAAATTAATATACAACCTTCCCACTCTATCTTCAGACAACTGAGTACAGTAAGACATTATAGTGGAGGAATGTGTGCCCATTGTAAAAATTAAATGATTAACTTTAAGGTTTATCTGGTTAAGATCAAACTCTGAATTGAATTCTCTTAGTGTGTTGACAACTGAAGATTTATGTCTTCCAGCTATATTCCTGTTACAGAGTTGGCAGCAGTGACCTCTCCAGGAAAGGTCTTTGTTATGGATTTTGCTCTGTTTACATTATTGCCATGAGGGTCACAGTGAAGTACAGCACATTAAAGCTAATATATCACCTGCTGACAGTGGTCTTATCTCTTTGGTACCTCTTTCCCTCTCCCAATGTGGAAAAAATACCCAAAAGAGCAGAGGGATCAGGAACGGAAAGTTAAAAACTGGTTTCTGAAGTGCTTTGGCATTAATGTCAGCCCTGTTTGCAGCATAGTTTTGTGTCCTGTCAGATGGCTACATAACTTCCCTTTTTGTGAAGTTATTGCAAAAATCTGACTTGACCATAAAGTGCTTTTGCCAAAGTTGATGCTGAGGAAAAGAAAGAGACATCAGGTTTTCTTAAGGCCAGCCAGTTCATCAAGTGCAACTTTAAGGTCAGCTGTGTAAAAACAAGGGTATCTGTAGCTACTGCAATTCTGAGGAGCTCATAAGCTCCCTAGGAGTTTGACTTCAAAAGCTTTCTTTTCTGCAGAATGTAAGAGACACTCTATAGCTATTTCCCACTGGCTGCTACTTCTTCCTCTGGTTATGGCCCTAGGTAAACCTGGCCTTTCTCAGCACCTTTTGGGTCATGAGAACCCTAATATGCAGTAACCTTCAAGAGTAGTATGGCGTCTTTAAGTTAGAGAAAGTTGTAGGGGCTGGTGAGTTGGTTGTACCTCTGTCTGACCATTAAGGGAAATCAGAATTTGCAGAGTGGGAGGAATCAGTGAGCCAGATTTTCTCCCTCTTTTTGCCATGGAAGAGGAGCTTGAGAGGGTCTGAGCCACCAGCAAAACTATGTACCTTTGAAGAAGGGCATGAGACACAGAGGGAAGGGGAAGAAAATGAAGAATAGGGAACAACCATCAAGAGAAAGGGAGATGTCTCACTAGACCCCGTAGTACAGGGAAAGGTAATTATTTTAGCTGGAGAGCTGCTTAATGAGTTTTGGTGAACTGTCGAGAGCCACAAGGGTAGCCTCACCCCTTAACACGTGCCTTGCCCCCGGTCACCATCTTGGGACTAGAAGTCCTGCCCCTGACATTTCCCACCAGAAGTCCCTCCCTGTGCCCCCCAGAAATACTCCTTTTTGGAGGGGGAGGGTTGCCATCTTGGAACCAGAAGAAAAAACAAATATGCTAAAAGTCAAACACCTACTATAACGTATTTAAATTTTATTAAAAAAAAATTTTTTGTCCTGATTTTTGTTTGCGTATTGTATAGAGGTGATTGCATAATAACCGAGAAATAAAATCTTACTCTTGAGTATTGTCTGGGTGGTGTGGGGTGTGGTTGGGGGTGGATGTGTGTGTATGATGGGGTGTGGGGGGTGACAGGGTCATGGCCTGGCTCAAACTCTAATGCCACTCTCCCTAGATTACTTGCCTGCCATGCCTTGTTCTTAAATATTCTAGGTTGATTCAGCAGGCTACCGACAGGCCTTAGAGTGAACCCTAATCCCAGTAAGTTCACACTGAGTCTATCCTGTGACACCACTAGTTTCAGTCCAACCCTCAAGCTTGGCAAGTCCTGCTCAGCCTGACTAGTCCCCTGTAGGACACCAAGAGCCTGGTGCCCTAGGGCGTGGCTCCTTCACCTCCCCTATACCAGACCCCAATCCTCATGGATGTTCTCTCCCATTGATGTAACTATTTATACATTTGCCTCTCTTGAGCCCTCAGACCTTCTGGTCCCATCGTCTCCCCCTGCACCCTCAGACAGCTCATTCCCTCTGGGAGTTTAACATATACTGGGTTTCCAGGCATGTCTTTTTCAGTCCAAGGAACTTGCCTCTGTTCCCAGGGCTGCAGAGTTGTTCGGCCTAACATCCAGGTCCCTTCAGGACCCTGCAGCCAGGAGCTCCTCGCTTCTTGGTTGCTAGGGAGAGAGACTACCTGACTGGTGCAGGCTCTGGGCTTATACAGCTCCAGCCTGAGCCCTCTTCTGGTCTGGTGAGTCCCAAATTAGTCCCCCTCTGCCAACTGTGAGCAGTCTTACAGACTGCTAACTCTCTTAAAGGAGCAGGCACATCCCAGTGCCCTGATACAGGTGGGGTTGTGAGGGGGTGTGGCTGTGTGTGGGAGGGCAGTAGGGTATGTTTGGGCGGTGTGTGTGTATATGTGAGGGATAGTGGGGGCAGGGTGTAGATGTGTGGCATTTGTGGGATGTGAGGGAAGGTGGGGTGTGTGGGGATGCCCCCACATTCTCCCCAATGGCACACAGCCCCCAGTGCAGGCAGCAGCAGCAGCAGGCAGGGACACTCAGGGCATTGATGGCCCACGCAGGTACTGCTGCCTGGTGGTGTGCAGCTCCAGCCAGTGCTCCATGTGGTGGCAAGGAGTGCAACCAGTCCGACCCACTTCTATCATTCAGGGCACTGCACGGTGCATGTGCAGCTGCCAGCACTTGTGCATCACCAGGGGAAGACCCACGCAATGGAGCGCTGCCTTCCCCACCCCCTGCCATGCAGATCCCAGGACTCCACCAGGAGGCAGAGGGCAGGGCTCCCCTCCACTTCTGGCAGAGTTCTGGGACCAGCACAGCAGGGAGGGCACCGGCTCCATCACACAGGGCTTCCCGCAGTGGTGGGGAGCTAAACATGCACCACAGGGCCCCACACAGTAGAGGTGGCCCAGCCTGGGTGTGCTTCTTGGCACCACATGCAGTGCTGGCTGAAGCCGTGCACTGCCAGGCAGTAGTGCCTGTGCAGGCCACCAACACCTGGAGCTCCCCCCCCTGCTGCTGCTGCTTGCAGTGGGGGCTGTGTGCCTTAGGGGGGGAAGTGTAGGGGAAAGTCCTCACACCCCCCTACCCTCCCTCACACCCACACACTGCCCACCCAAGCTCCACACTCCTGCCCCCCCCGGGCACGGGCTCCATGCTGCCAACAGCCCCAGCCCTATGCTGTCTGTCCCCACTGCTTTCCTACCTGGTGCCCTGAGTGTGTGGAACACTGGAGGAGCTGAGCAGGTCCTCTGGTGGCAACAGCAGTGGCAGCAGCAGCCCCACCCAGAAGCCGCATGCTGTCCTGGTCAGGCCTTTCCGCCCATAAGGGTAGGAGCCAGGCATATGGGCTGGGCAGGGTACAGTTAATTAGTGAGCACCCACAAGCCAGATGAAATTGCCTGACAGGCTGGATGCGGCCTGCGGGCCATATTTTCCTGGCCCCTGCCTTCAGAGATCTCATACAACTGAGGCTGGACAGCAATGGCCACTGCTGGACGATGTAGATCTAATTTGCCACGTAATTCATGTGACCTTGCATACGGAACCATATGCTAACTTATGAGTTCTGAAAGCTTTTTTTTTTCTGAAAGCAAACAATGATAATGGACTTCCACAAATATTGAAACCAGAAAACTTATAAAGTATCAGGGACTCTGTACTGAGGAAAACACCTCACAGAGACATGAAGTTCATAAAGAAAGGAGGTTGTCTCACATTCTATATATGGGAAGGAGCCTTCAATTTTCACTGCCAGTTGTAATGCTGAGATAATTGTTTTTTACATTTAAAAGTATAATTAGCCACTGTTGAAAACTCATTAAATAAACCTAGTTTCAAAATGTGCCCTTTGGAATCTCTCATTAGGGTGCACCACAGATATCTTTTGAAGAGGAGGAGCTGAATCTCATTGGACACACTGAATTACTGACATCTCAGAAGACCAAATTCACTTTCAGGTATGAACTTCTTTTGTTCAATATTGATTCATACATACCTTTGTCAATGTGCAAGACAAGCCTTTTTTCATTATTATTTTAAGTATATTGGAAAATTTGTAGTATTCTTATCATTGTAGGATTCTTATCTCCTTTCTCAATCTGAAAATGACTTGAACTTGCTGTACCTCAATTGCCTTTTACCTTGGATAGTGAATGTGGTTGATTTTGACTTGTATTGTGCATGCTGACTGGTGGTACTTTGGGGAAAGGAGGAATATACTGTGATTGTATAGTTTGTGTTTTGCCTTTTAAGCAATTTCATAGGTATTTAAAACCCAAGATAGATTATGGTCTTATGTTGTGTATCTATCAAAATAAATAAGCAGTCTTCTGAACCATGTGTTCGCTAAAAAGGCAATCATTTTCTTGGTTAAAATTTCACCTCTGTTTTTGAAAGTTAAGGTTATTCCTTCAGTATATTTTTATACTGATATGTTATAAAAGTGTATACAACTTATACAAATGGCATCCACACATTCATTTGTATAGTATGGGCAAATTTCTATAAGGGCTTATTTTAAGCCTTGTTTTATCAGGACAGTTAGACTCTAAAAGTTAACTCTTTTTTGTCTCCCTTTAGTTGCAGGAGGCGGTAGATAACCAGTGTTGTGCTTTAGCATGCTGGTACTCATGTGGATAGATTGGGAAGGCCCTTTGTCAACCTAGGCCAACATGTGAATTGAATCCAAGAGAATTTATCCTTTGGGCTGGAATCCCCTTGAGATTTGATGGCTGTTTATCTTGAACTAAGCAAAATTATCAGGTCAAAACCAAAATTGTCAAGTCAAACTACAATATGGCATCACAGAGAGTCAAATCTTCAGCTGGTATATTTGATGCCATGTCACATTTAGCTGAAGATTTGGCCTGCTGTGTTCAGAATGCAGTAACACTGTGTTACTGTCTGCCTGTCCAAAGGCCAAATTAAATTTTAGTCTTGGTTAGCAACTGTCCAAAAGCCAAATTAAATTTTAGTCTTGGTTAGCAACTCATATGAATCACACTACTATGAAGTCATCTTTCAAAACAGCCAGAGAAGTAAAGGCCTTTGAGTTCCATTAACGTTTTTAATAGTAACCTAGTTTTATAATAGTACATTGTCTAACTATGAAGTAAAATATGTAGTTTGGAAAGTGGGGAAGACAGTCAAGGTATCATAAACAAATCAACAACTATATCTTAATTTTGGTGAAGGAAAAGGAATCTTTAGTATAATTTTGCATTTTTAACCACTTGTCAAAACTGTATGAAATAAAACCCATGTATGAAGCTGTTTGTGAAATACTCCAATCCCCATGTTCATCTTTGCTTTCATTTTGTCCTTCATCCTTTGGTATTTATTCCACCATTTGCTATCTTGTTCAGTTTTGCCTTCCTTCATACTTTGCCATTACTTGGAATAAGCTCTTGTTTTCTTTGGGGGCTTGTTCCTTCATTTCAGGATCAGATTGAACACGAAGGCCACAGACAGGTATGTGTAACTGCTAGAAAAATAGCCCAGAGGCTGGATTGTACATGTGTTGCAGCCCTCTGGCTAGAGAGGTACACAGGCAAGCTCTTCAGGGGGGAATTAAAGAACTGCTCCCTGGGTCACTCCAACCTTTAAGGAAGTCCATTAATTGCCAGCTTGTCCTCTCCCCTGCCTGAGAAGGGAGCAAGCTGTTCATAGGCAGCCAGCTGGCTTTTGAATCACTGTGTGTGCAGCCAGGATGAGTTCACATGGGGTGATTTAGAGCTGGAGGCACAGGGAAGTAGGGCCATGGAGAGCCTCCCCAAGCCCAGCTCCTGGCCCCACCCACTTTTAAATCACCCTGCAGGGAAAATTCACCCTGAGCAGCTGGTTGGTGGGAGAGGGGGGCATTCTTCCTCAGTAGAAACCTGTACTGGGAAGGTTCCTGCCACAGGAGAATGCCCTACCCCATCATGCCAATCAGGCAATTGGTGGGAAGTGGAGAAAGACTTTTCACTGCAAGGTGTCTACAAGACTTTGTGACAGCTCACCCCTGGGCAGGGAGTGCTCTCCTTCCATCCCTCTTCTTCAGAAGGGAAGCAAAAGATCGGGGTCTTGAATGTCCTCCACACCAGAGAGAAGCAGGCAGCCATTCAAGTTATTTTGGGAGGATGGAGTTCTTCTGGGTAGGAATTGATCTAAATTTCTTGCATAAGAGCTTGTTCTCTTCCTCAAGAAATTCCTGGAACAGCTGTATGGGCTCTTTTTGTAACACCTGTTTGTGGCCCACATTTGGAGTGAGGGAAGTATTTTTTCCTTAAGTTAAATTGGGAAGGATTGTGAGAAGTTTTGTCGTCTTCTTTAACACAGTCCTCTTCCTAGGGTCCTCTGATCATGTATTAACTAATTATTTTTGTTACTGCGGTGACTTGGCATGGAAAGTGCCCTTATCTCTCCAGCCTTTTACCCATGGTGTTGGTAGAGTACTTCTAGAATTTCTGATTTATGCACATAGTTGTGTGTAACAGATTGATGTGGTGATTTTAAGGATTCTTTGGGTAAATGGTTGCCTGCAAACTTTGAGGACTGGTTTTGATCACCCAGAGGGGCACCTTTCAGTCTTATGTTCCTATGTATGTGAAGTACCCTACACTTTTTTTTAAAATACTACTTTAAAATTCAGCTCTTTCATGTAGCCTTACTATATTGATGTCTCAAATTCCTGGTCTAACCCTCTCCCCCCCCCGTTTTCACCCATTGTGGTTTTTTAATTTAGTTTTCTAATCAGTACTGTCATGAGTATTTCTTATTTTTCTAATCTATCAGTTATAGCTACATGGTCACGATAGCATTTGGAGTGCCTCTAAATCTTTAATGTATTATCCCCACAACACATCAGGAAGCAGAGACACGCTATTATTTCTGTTTTACGGAAGGGAAAGTGAGACAAAGAAGCTAAGTGACTTGGACAAACTTAGGAAATCTGTTACAGAGCAGGAATTTAGCCCAGGTTTCCTGGGTCCCAGGCTGTTATTCTAAACCATGAATTATGCTTTCATTCTGGTTGATCAGAATTTTTTCCCATCATTAGAGGTGACTTTTCTGTCAGTCTTGCTCTTTCTTTCTCTGTCTCTTCCATTTCATTTTTGCAACTGCCTCTCATCTCTCCAGAAACATTGGGAATGTCATTTTTTTTTCAGTCCCCCCCATCCCCTTCTGCATTCCCTTTTGGGTCCCTGGTCATCATTTGCTTTCTGTGCTACTTCCCAGCTTCTTGTCTTATACCTGCTGACACCAGTGCATTTTTAAAATCGCATTGTTATAAAAATGTATAAAAGTCCTTTCCAGCTTACTGTGCACCTGCCAGGTCTCCAAGTTATACAGTAGCTGATTAGTGTTCATCATGCGTATCCTGAATCTCATTCAGCTTAGTTGCTTAGGTTTTTTTATGGAATGTAGTTAAAGACTGCTACAGCCTGTTTCACCTGATGCAATCATTATGCACCACCAAATATACATGTTCATTTATCCCTTTAATTTATAATTGGGATTAAAATTGTGAGCCTTGCACATGCCATGTTCACGATTATTGTCCTTATGCTTATATTGGTATGTTTTTGATAATGTAACTCCTTCCTAGATTTATACTGTTGTTTGACACTGTCTTGTTATTTGTTAAAATAACTAGTCTTTCATATGGTAATAATTAGAGCTGTGCGAAGCTTCGGTCACTAATTCAGTTTGGCAGAGATTCAGCCCAATTCAGCAGCCGAATCTCCACATCCAAATAGAATCAAGAGATCCTTTAATCTCTCCGACTCTAATTGGAACCCTCTGAATCGATTCAGAGAGATTCGGAAAGATTTGACAATGCAGACATAGACACAGCTTTAAATGTTTTTTCTAAGGCAGCTCATGAATGCTGAGATGTGGGGCAGATGGAGTGTCCCACAGGAGCATGGGGGTGGTCCCCAGCGCACTCAGCAGCAGACCCAGAAGTAGACCAGAAGCACTTCCACTGTACTGCTAGGTCCACCGGGGAGCATGCCAGGGCCCCCCCCATGCCTCCTGGCTCAGCAACTGGTGCCTCCTAGGTCTGGGGGGGCACCCGGAGTCCCCCTGTGGGTGATCACTAAGCCATGGGGGGGGGAGCAGGGGGGCACAGGGGAGGCCCCCTGTGGACTCAGTAGTGAACCTGGAAGTGAACCAGAAGTACTTCCGGTCCACTTCTGGGTTTGTTGCCAAGCATGTAGGGGCCCCCCCATACTCCTGTGGGACACTCTATACGCCCCAGCATTGCAAAACTCATGAGCCACACCTGGTACCTTGAGGTACGTAGAAAAAACATTTAAAGCTGTGTCTATGGCCGAATTGCTGATTCTCCGAATCAGCATCGAATCTTCAGATTCGGATTCAGCCAAATTGAATTGGGACAGTGCTCTGAATCAACTAATCGAATCACTGTCCCCAATTTGGGCTGAATCCAAATCAAATATGACCCGTTTCACACACCCCTACTAATAATTCTTCATAATTCTGCTAATTTGTCAGTTGCATAACTTTCTGTAGGACCCAGTTGCTGCCCAAGCAAATTGATTCTACACAGTAAGGACCTAAGTAGAGTAAGTGGAGTCTTCTACAGTTCTCAGTTTCCCTAGTAAAGGAGCTTGCATTATAGGGAGGGGGTTGTTTACATATAAACACAAGAAAGAGTTTTGTAGTATGTCTCAAAGCTGTTCAAGCTGTGAATTGGCATCTCTGAAAGCTCACTTCACAATCATTGATGAGAATATTTTATGTCCAGGTCTCCTGTGATATAATCCTAAGTTTTTTGTAATTGTGTTGCTGGGACATTGGATATTCAAAAAGGGATGTAGCTGGTTCTGCTGCAGTCTTGACTTTAAAC